ATCGTTACTTTTTATCTCTCTGCCGAGCGCGTGTTCTAGACGTTAGTTTTCCAGGCCTCTTTACTGCGCACTTGCGCTCAATGTTTTCAAGCGATAGTGTAACTCGCTGCAGAATTGAGCCTGAACAATGAGTATAAAAATTCAAGAGCTAGTTAAAATTGTTCAGCTTAATTGAATTTTCTCTCTTGTCCCTCATTAGAGGCGTTGCTTTGTTCGTTTTCCGTTGAAATTTTCTTAATGCACGTACGTGAGTATGAAATTATTAATTTATAAAGAAATGTGCTCAGGTCCGACCAAACACCGACTCGCACTACTTTCGGTATCATCCAACTCGATTACCCCGTATGTTTGCGCTGAGACGTATTTCACGACTTTCTCTCGTATCTCTCGATCCGATCGTAAATAATTACTTATTTATAATCTTAGACTATGCCTACGTATGTACGTAGGAATATATATCAGTTCGTATAGACGCAGGATGCTGTAGGATGTCAATATATACAGGTGAACGTTGCGCACGCGTTTATTTTGCTACAAACAGAAAGCCAAATGAAGGCAGAATCGAGTAGCAGAGAGCGATAGACGCACAAAATATAGCGGGAAGCAATATTGACTCTGACTGTACTGAACATCCCTCTCCCTCTCAACTATTTCAGTGTGTGTCTGTATGTGGCGCGTTTGTTTCCACACATACACGCATCGCGGTGCGATAGGCTCTTTCCCTCATCCAAAGATATCACCCACTATAGTGAGCTAGGATAACCATGGGTTTGGAGACAAGTCGTGCAGTCAAGAAGAAAGGGAATCTATAGTGATTGATTGATTTTCTCGCGCTCGTTCATTCGCTCTAAGGCTTAATCTAAGGGAGTTTGGCAAATCTTGCGATTCGTCGATAGACATCTTTCTAATTCCGCCTTAAACCCAGTCAATTCTTTTTTATTTATGAATAAAGTGTGTAAATCATTCTACCGAATGAAAAATCATAAAAGTTGTTTAAAATAACGAATTAACAAGTTGAGGGCTAATTTTTGAAATCACACTTTTGTTTTGAAAATTACATAATTTCGTTGAAAAAAGTTTTTACATTTTCCCTACCAACGAGAGGTTTAATAAAAAGTTGATGAAGCTGGCTTGTATTTCTCTAGCTCGAGGGTAGAACAAGAACATTTTTCGCGCAACGCAAAAAAAGCAATCGAAGCAGTAGCGCAGCAGCAGCAGCAGCAGTAGCAGTAGCGCAAGGGGGTAGAGTACTAGCGGTCACTGTAAGTAGATTAAGCGCACTTGTTGAGTCAGAAGAGGCAGCCTGAAGCGTTTCGCTATTGACCCTAGAGGCAAGGTCTCTGTTTTCCGCGCCGCGTATGAATAAGTTTGAAGCGCGAGCTTATTATACCGAAAATTAAAATGAATATCGAGGCGTGCCTGGAAAATTGAGGAAAACGAGATTTCGTCCGAGATCTCGCTCTATTTTTTTTTCTTTTTTTTTGTCTTTTTAATCTAATGTAGAGAAGGAGAAAGAGCGTAATTGAAAGTATAAAACGCAAAAGCGATATTATAACGAGTAAATTTTAATGAGCAGCAGCACCGAACAGAACAAAAGAAACAGTCCAGGCGTAAAATTATCGTCGATGAATTGCATTTTCCTGCCTTTTCGAATTACACAAAATCCCTCGCGCGTCGAATAATTTGAATCGCACTTATCTGCGATTTTCTGCCGGGCAACTTATATACGTTGTCAAACGAACGCTGTGAACGCGTAAAATGATATTTTCATTATAGGCACGCAAATTCCCCCTTTATTAGGGAAACTTTTTTCGTGCCGAGTTTTGATATATCTGGATCCGATAGGTTTAACGCGTCTGAGCGCGCGTGGTAGATTTATACTACAATTTCAACTCGCATTAATTTGTGCAAACCGAACGATACGGTAAATAAAATGATGAGTCGTTGTTGATAAATTTATCGCTCGGCACGGCTCGGAACTCGATTGGAAATGCATTATCAACGAATCGTTTATTGTTGTTAATTTTGACACATTGATACAGTCAATTTATTGCAAATAATGGTATTAAACGGGCTCAGACACTTTTCATTGAACGGCATTTTCTCTGTCTCATGTTAAGTAATTTTACTACTTCATTAATTACATATTCATTGAAACGAATTATGCTTATTGTGAATCTTATGATTTATCTACCTTCACGAGGATGAAAAATAATAAATGTAAGAAAATTCAAGTAATTATTTTTTTCAAATATTTCTACAATATTGGAAGCCGAGTATTACTAATACTAGTCTATTTGTTCCTTCCATCTACGCCAACTATAAGTTTTACAGTATCAACTTATTTTGCCCTATTTATTGGTCATTAATTAGTAATGCATATAAGATACTTTTGATTTATACTGAAAATTTGAATTTATTCAAATTCCGTTTTATTGATCAAAGTTGATTTTCATGGAAGCTTCTGATTCATGCTTTTATTTAATGTTAGAATTTGAGAAAAAATCTAAGAGGTACTTACACAACTTCTCGTCCGCGTCCTGTAATGCGCCTCTCGGTCAAGCAAGCCGTCGATCGGTGAATCCGCGCCCACGCGTGCCTCGCGATAAATCACAGAATAACGTCGAATATATTCACAAAACAGCGGAAATCCGATCGAAACCGCGCAATAACTTTCTACGCAGGATATGAGAGAGGCTGAGAGCGAGCGAGAAAGGAAGAGCAGAGAAGCAGAGGCAGCAGCAGCAACGGCGCAAAAGATAAGGATCAGTAAACCTCGTGGTCAGCAAGTGCTCCGGGGTCTAGGCGAGCCGCCACCATACAGACAAACATCGTGGCTAGAACTGCGAGAGTACATTTGCCGACGAGCTGCCTTTACCGGCATTCAATTCCTGCAGGCACGCATGCGTCGCTTTTGAACCTGCACCACCATCCCCCTTCTTTTGCTCCTTCCACTCTGCTGCTACTGGCGTTGCCGCTGCCGCTGCCGCTGCTGCTTGAGCCGCACACGGCTCTGGCCACCATGGCTCTCGCTTTTCTGGCTTAGCACTCACACATAGACTTTCGCGCACGTATACACGTCTCGGGCTCAGGTGTAGGGCACTTTTTTCCCCTCGACCTTTTCTCGACCTTTTTTCCGTCCAGCAATATCATGTACGCCAAGGATCATCGTGCTGAGCCGAACACTGAAATATTGCTTATGTATTGACTATGCAGGATCGAAAAGCAAACTCGTGATTTTTCATACGAATGGCTAGGTGAATTATGAGAGTTTCTCCAATATGTACGAGTGCATACTTTAAATTTTGTTTTTCATTTTGTGTACCATACCCGATAATATAATGAACATACAAAGATTTACATATTTATGATTGTTTTCATATTTGTTTACATGAAGTACAAATTGATGCTTTTTGTATACGCAACGTAGGGCGGCTCTATCTCCTCCGAACCAAAAAAACGATATGAAATTTATGATATGTGTAGCCGAAAATCCTCCCCTTTGCAATCGAGCACACATCCCTTTATCAAAGAAAAGTCCCGATAAGTACGAGGAGCCAAACACGCACAAGGGGAGCATATGTTACACGATTGAACAGCGCGCGAAACATTCAGCATTCGCAATCCATATACAGTGTAGACTGGCAAGATTTTGTATATAAACCATATATAGACACAAACAGGAGCGTATAGATATAAGTGCAAGAGAAGAATACGTATACCCGCACCGCTCTGTGTATATACGGCTCGTAGTATGCGCGGATAGTCTCTGTCGCTTTTGTCAGACCGCCGCGTCGAGTGGCGCATGCGCTCCGAACCCGCTACGCCAAAGACAGGATGGTGGGTGGCTCAAAGAGAAACAGTCGCGTAGTAGTAAGACAGTCAGGCTGTAGCGCCCGCTCTATCGACTACGCCCGGTTGTACATCGATAGAAAATTTTTAAATTAAAAAGAACCGGTTTATAATAGCATATAAAAGTACGAGTTTGAGTTTGCGCGTTAAGTGAAATGATCGTGAAAAAATTGCCCAGCTCGTTGAGATTTATTTCCAAGTTTGTCGTCGATCGAGTTTCGGGCTAGTGGAAGAATCGTATCGAGGCAGCAGCAGCCGATGGTAAATCGAAAATGAAGAAGGCGCGCAGAAAAGGCGCGAAAGGAGCCAGCACCGGTGGGGCCGTCAGCTCGACGAGTGTACAACGCGTCTGACCTAACGGCGAGCTGTATCACTTCAAAGTAAAATGGGATGGTCGTGGAACCACAGAAAAAAAAGCAACCTCGAGCCCGGCCCGAGAAGAAAACAATAGGACAAGTCTCGAGTACATGCTTGCATGATATCGTCGCCCAAGCCGCCACAAGTGTAGTAGGCACAGCAGGCTGAGAGCAGCCGACAAGCTCGCCCGCGCGTCGCATGTTTGTAAATAATAGAACAAGCCTGTGCACACGTTGACGTTCCCACCCAGGCTTGTATGTGCGGTGTACGCATGCATATATACAGTTAAGCCAATACTCGAATTACTACTCCTGTCACCAGTACTACTTACTGCTGCTGCCAATACTGAAATAACAACTGGTACTACGACTACTACTACCCACGAAGCAACGAGAGTGGAGCAACTGTTTAATATAGTGTATTAAAGATTCAAGTTTACAAGAAGCTTCATATGAAGAAAGAAGAATATATTTTCTACAATTGCGATCATCTTCGACGTTTTTGTTCTTCGACTAGTTTACGTTTTGTATTCCAGCTCGACGACCTACGTGTTTTGTGAGTGCGCGAAACTATTAACCGAATAATAGTGCCGCGCGTTGGCCCTTTGTGCGTTTTTCTCCCGTTCGATCCCCTCCGACCCCCAACGCCGCTCTACGACCCCCTGCGCACCCACCACCTAGTTTTTAAATCAAAATGGTTCTACGTAATTGAGAAAAAAAAATCATAAGAAAAATAAAGTTTTGCATCTTGCATTGACAGTGGTGATTGTTTTTTGTTCTTCTGAAACGCAGGTGTGTCAGGCTATACAAGCTTGAGAAAAATCCACGACGACGGCGGAGCAAGCAGCCAGTGCTAACGGCGGCTGCTACTGTGACGACGGTGGTGGTGCGCTTGTGTTGGCGGTGCAGTGAGAATAAGCGCGCAATAAGCGAGAGGGGGTTATGATCTCCATGTCAATCATGACACCTATTTTCCTCCTTGTTCTCTTGTTGGTGATCGACCCTCTTACCGCGCAGAGCAGTGGTGAGCGTGGTGAGTAATATCATATATGCAAAAATTTATCTGCGGAATGAACTCAAATGAACTCAAGTGTGATCCTCGGTGATAAATGAGAAAAAATATTGAACGGACCCATGCACGAACTTTTATTTGCCGAGGCCGAACGAGACGAAGCCGAGACAGATGAATGATTATTAAATGTGACTAAAACAAAAAGTTCTTTGTGGAGGCAATTTTTCAAGAGTCTTTTCATTAAAAATGTATCGCTGCACGTTCAATGGAGATGTAATAAAACCGATCAGAAAAAGCTATTTTTCGGTTCGAGCTGGATTTTTTCCCTCGGCTAACTCTTTTAACCCTTAAAACGGCGAAAAAAAATCAGTATCATTTTCTATTTAAAAAGAGCGTCTGCCGATAGCTTCGTGCATAATCCATGAACCGAATGAATAAAAAATCTGCCTCGCGCAATACAATCGTGCCACCCCATTCAAGTGTACATTCAAAGATATCATATGAGCTAGATTATTCTCTCTTCTCTCTCCTTTCGCGTGGAAAATAAAAAAATAAAAAATTTCTCGGCAGCAAACAAGCACGAGAAAAATCAAGAGATTTGCCATTGCGTTATTAGTCTTTTCCGAGCGCGTGATCGCGTTTATACATATATCTACTCGCACGAAGCCAGCAAAGAAAGGAAGAGAAATCGCTTGCGCTCATTAAGCGTTCTCACCCGTAACGCAAACGAGTGAACTCGTGCTGCTGCTGCTACCAAGCGCGCGTGGCTTGTTGAAGCGGCTAAAAAGACACGTTTTTTGCACCCGAGTTCGTTTTGTATATATATAACTATGTGCACCGCGTACATCGGAGAGGAAAAAAAACCAAGAGTTATTTAGAACATAGAGAGCATCGATGCGCACTGCAATGTTGTTTTTTTTTCTGCATTCTAAAAGCTCTCCTCTGACGCGCGCTACCCTCTCTCGTGCCATTAATGGATCGAACAAAATTTGTTAACGTCGTTTTTTCGCTAAATGTTTGTATTGTGACTACTATCCCACCGAGTCGAGTGGTATATATATACACCCAGAGTGTTTAATACCAAGGCATTATAGTTTTCTCTCTTTTCCTCTCGCGCACGCACGTAGACGGCTCCGATTTTGTGTAACGGCACATGCTCGCACATTTTTAAACCAATTGCTCGTCATCGCTTGGTAAACGAACGCGCGCATTTCAAGCCCTTCGCTGAACGTGCAGTGTGTCGCTTAGTCAATTTGAACAAAACAAAAAAAAACTAAAAAAAAAAAAACTTTGAAATCATTCAACTGTTGTCGAGCTCGCTCTGCTACGTGAACGGCAAAAAAGTGCTAGCTTCGATGCAGATTATATATACGAATATGAAGAAAATCAGCAATGACACATTGCAGGAGTCCATTTATGAAAAATGCTATTTTTGCAATATTTTACTGCTTTTCAATGCTTTTAACCATTTCCAACAGGAATATGATTTCTACGTTTGTATTTGTCACGATTATCAACAGTTGTCTGTAATCCCAAACTACGTTTTAAAAGTTTTTACATTTCAACATGAATTTATATGAATTTTCAGTTACGAATACTTCAATATTTTTTTTTCTAATGCAATTCCTACTTTGACACCATCGATTTTTTAACAACTAAATGATTTTAGTAATATTAATCTGATCCCAAATGTAACAAGTTCTAAATTTAACCAATGTCAGCTACCCACAGACCGAAATTCCTTTGCTGGAGTTCGGCGCTCGTGTGGTGCGCTGCACAATTCGCTAGTCATTCTCGCGGGCAGATTTCCGCCAGCTCGGGGTTATATAGTACTTAATCGACCAATTTGGAAAATTCTCTCGACGTTCAACGCTGTATTACGCTATTTAATTTATGTATAAATGAACTAGCTCGCGCTTTAAATTGCATCACTCAGTCCATTGATATTCCCACAAATTTTTCTTTACAAAAGTTCAATAACGTAAAAAATTCAAAAAAGGTAAGTTATTATAATTCAATTTTTTAATTCCTTTTTATTTTACTATAGATTGGATGCGTTCAAACGTTTGCTCGTTATTTTTGAATCTGCAAATAAATATATTAATTGAAAGTGGATTTGAATTTCGTCTGATATAACTGCGTTAGATAACTATATTCGCCCATTCAAGTACGTGAAGCAGAATACATGTACACACGGTGCAAGCCTGTGGAATGGACAAGCTAGAAATTTAATCGTATATTCAATTAGTTACTACTAATTTGCACCAAAATGATTGTTTATGTATAATTTCGTAGGTAATTTGAAAGAATCACGCGTAATTGTTATTTAAATGCTTCTCGTAAATACTTACCTCGAATATTTTTTCTCGCGCTTTAGGAATGTGCGCGAAATTTTCATTGAAATTAATCAAGTGAAATAATGCTCTCACCTTTTTCACACATAACGTGCTTGCAAGTTATTTTCATGACCTAAACTTTTCAAATTTCTCTGCTTCCAAGAACCGTTCGTTTTATCTTTCCTCTTTACCCTCTTGCTGCGCTGTGGAGTTTTGGTCATTATACTGCGTAATATTTACGTTTGTTTTCTCTCTACGCATACGTTTCAGTGTACATACACGTGCTATTTATTTACCTTATTTTTAGGAAAAAATACACGAGGAGAATGGCTTTTCGCATCAACTTCTAAAATTGTCAACATAAAATTTCCATACAGCATGAGTGAATGTCAAGATATTTTACCTATTTTATTATTACGAAAACTTGAAAAAAATCTCAATTATGATATACAAATACTTGTGCCCGTTGTTTGGAACTTTTTCGTAGATTCAAAAATTATCTCCACCAAGTTTCTTCATTGTTTTAGGGGTAGCATTCAAATACAAACCTAGCAGGCCGTCGACTCGAATGTTAATTTTATCAAAAGTCAAATGGTATTGAGACTTATAAACCCATGCTACTTTACAGCTTTTAACAAAATTCGTGTTGTTACGAGTTAGGGAGTGAAAAAACAGGGTGTACTAACGAAAATACAGGCCAATTACGTTGAACAAATGTTGCTGGGATTCGTATCCAAGCGCGAGGCCCGAGATATAAACGATCATTAAAAAAAAATAAAACACAACCGCACTTTGTCACTTTTAATTTTGCCTGCGACGCACATACATACACAACGCAAAGCAACGCAACAGTTTTACTGTCGTGCGAGCTTTCTGACTGGCGCATCGCATAGATTGGTTGGCAATACTGATGGTTATTTATAGGGCCAGTTTACGGCCAGTCAGAGGGAGCGAGGATAATAATTCACATTCAACTTGCGCACACAGTGCTATTTGCGTGTTCATGTACAGGCAAATCGAGAACATATAGCGGACAATGCTTGTCGAGCCGTGACATTCTCTCTCTCTCTCTCTCTCTCTCTTCCCACATGTCCACGATTATTCGTATAAATGGGAAATACTTTGGCGTATTATAAATTCGTAATTCTTATTTAAAGTCGACGCGTGAGAGCCGATAACGAGTTTAAAAGAAAAAATTGTGGTTTTTGCGCGCGATGTACACGATTGCATAAGGGAGAGGAGGGAAGGAGGGGGGGGGGTGAAAAAATCAAAACGATCCTTCATAATTAACTTGAAAGAAGAAAAAAAAGTCCGACGGTTATAGTTGAACGCATAAATTTTACCTCTTGCGCGCCGTGGTTGGTATAAATGACACTGCTGCGCGCGAGAAAGAGAAAGAGATCCTAACTAACATCCACCACCGCGCATATTAACGAGGCTCCTCTCTGTAGTCTAGGCGCCACACCACTATTCCTCTGAGACAGTCAATTTTATTAAACTGCGATGCCGCATGAAATGAAAGCTAAAAGAGAAAGAAGGCTCTTGAGCGTGATTTTCTCATAATTTTTGTCTTTTCTACCTCCTTTTTTCATTATTATTATTTTCTTCCTCGAGATTTGATTAAATTGAAAGTTTTAGATTTTGCTGATCTTACAAAACGCCACTCCCCCCGCACACCTCCCTCTTCCCAGAGGAGAGCCCGGCAAAGACGAAGCAACTCGATAAAGCATTTGGTCAGTGTATAGCTATAATCCTCTTCCGTGAAGCAGTATAAGCATCGGTGCTGCTGCGGCTGTTAAAATTTCATGAATTGAGCACTTAATACTCGCGCGCGGGGGTGATGCTTACGATCGAAATAATCCTGCAGCCTCGCGACATAAATTATAATAAGCCGGTTTCTCTGGGCGAGCCACACGGGCGTCCCGCAAATGAAAATTTTCCTTAAAATTTACTTTAATATGGATTTTGCTCCCGTTCTGTCCTTTTTCAATCTTCAATTATAGGCTTGAGCAATCGCCGAGCTGCTGCTGCGCCGGGCCGCCATCGCCCCCCTTGCCACTGCTGCTTCCATGAGCCGGGCAAAAGTTTCGCCCGTGTATAATCACGAGCCGGTCGGTTTCTGTCTAATCTGCTTTCCACTCCATATGTAAAATCCAAACTCAGGCGGGTCGCGCGCGCAAGTTCATTGACATAAACTATATTTCCTGTATATTATGCATGTGCGTTGAGCCGAGCTCGCTCTTGCGGATCGTCTTCGCCGCGCGAGAGATGAAACTGCGCATGGCTATAGGGCGCTTGTAAAATAAGAAAGTTACTCCTGTTTTATGAGTTTTTCTAGTTTCTCATTTTTTTCGCTTGTATACTATATCCTCGCGCCCCGCACTTTTTTCTTACTTTTTACTTTCTCTTTTCTACCTTTTTTATTTTTTATTTTTGGCTGCCATGAAAATTCTTCGCGCGAATCAAATTAAAGGAGGTAACAGAACAAAAAAAAAAAGAAAGAAAGAATAACGAAAACGAAGCAAAATTCTGCGTGCATGTACAGAAGATCAAAATTCAGTACTTCTTTCTGCCTTCTCGTCTGTATTTTTCATGCATCACGTACTTTTCTCCATTTGGTCGGATTTGCGGCGCTTATTGGACACTAGTGGCACAAAAGTCGCGAGGATTAGCCGCTTCGTGAGA